ATATTTGACGAAAGACTCAGTTGAGATTATATTATAATCCATGCCTTAATAACAGCAAAGTTGGATTACTGTAACTCCCTCCTGTATGGTCTACCTAAACGTCTAATTTCGAAGTTACAATCAGTCCAAAACTCAGCTGCTCGAGTTGTTACAATGTCTCGTAAATACGATCATATTACACCAGTCCTGATCCAACTACACTGGCTCCCTATACATTATCGTATTGTTTTCAAAATCCTCCTCATTGTTTAAAATGTTGAATGGATTCTGCCCACCTTATCTGTCTTGCTGTTTGGAATACAGAAAATCAAGTCGATCTCTGCGTTTTGTTTGAAATGAACTTCTATTCGTGCCTCCTTCCAACTATAAAACCTATGGTGACAGATCGTTTTCTGTTTGTGCACCGAAACTTTGGAATAGATTGCCTTATGATCTACGCAAGTCATCCACTGTATCATCTTTTAAAAAGAATTTAAAAACATATCTTTTTAAAATTTTCCTGGATAATAATAAGACTTTATAGTTTTTAGTTCCATTATACATAGTTCAGTACATTTTAATATTTTATAACCTTGTAAATAGTAGTAAATGCATGCTATTATATAGCTAACCTATTTAGCATCTTAGTTATTTTTATACTTGTAAAGCGCTTTGGACTTTTTAGGACATGCGCGCTATATAAATGGAAAATTATTATTATTATTATTGTTGTGATTTCTGTATCTTTCTTAAATGTTGTCGCTGTCATACCAATGTACGTTTTGGTATCCTTGGAGTCTTCGGTTTCCACTTCGGCTTTGTAAACGAGATCTTTCGTCAAGCACATATTGTTTAGTGGGCACTCGTTCATGTTCCTGCAGTTACATAGGTTTTTATTTTTGTTAGCTTTGTTGGGTTGTTGGGAATGATTTTCTTTCAACACGCGCTTATTGTGTTTTGATATGACGCTTTTAATGTTGTTCATACAGCTATAGCTAACTTTGACGGTGTTTCTGTTTAAGATCTTATGGAGGGGTGACGATTTGGGAAAATGTTTGTCAATCAACTTCAAGAACTCCCGAGCGACATTGGTTTGTACGGTCTTATACTATACGGCGGGTTGAACCAAATGACTTTTCTGGCTCTTTTACGTTTGGACTGGCTTTCGGTTGAAGGTTTGGTTTCTTGGGTTGAAAAATGTAGTTTGGAGGTGTAATTACTTTGCTTCAGGGGATTGTTGATTTTGCGTCGGCAATCCGATGTTCTTTTATGAGTAGTTGAACCGACTACATTACTACATCTTAACCGTATAAATTAATGCCTGATGATAGCTTGTTGCATGAAACGTGGAGTAGCAACTTATTCATTTTAAAAAATTGTAATGAAAACATTAAATTAAATGCTCTACAAAATTGCCTTGTATTGAGCACTTTCCGTTCTTGATCGGACGACAATACTACATTATAATTTCTATTAAAAAGCACCTGGAAACAGTTGTGCACTCTTCGTAACGAGAATAAATTATAATTCGTTAAATGAATAAGATACGGTTCAACTACTCGTTAAAGAACATCGGATTGCCGACGCAAAATCAGTGTCGAAGAACGTTGATACATAAAGTGGAAAGTGTCGCACAAAGAATACGATGGAGAGCACATTCTTTCTTGAAAGGTGAGAAAATAACGGACAAGAACTTTTACGATCTACCATCAAATAAAAATGCTCCAGCCGTGAGTGAGTTAAGACCCTTTGAAGATGATCTGGTGAAGCTGGTTCAAAACATATCCTTCCGAAAAGTCAACGAACCATTCCTCAACACGATAGAAAAAATATTAAGAAACATCAAATCCTCAAAAACGTATACGTATTCGCCGACAAAACAAAGAACATCTACGAAATTTCCAATGAATACAATAAGTGTTAACGCGAATCATACAAATCTCCTAACTATCATACAGCTAACAGATGATATCAACAGTGAACTACGCGAAATTTCCTCTAAACTGAACATTAGCAACCGAATCGATGTTATGGCTGAAACGGAAGCCTATATTACCCTGAAAGACCATAAAGAAAACTTTGAATCGAACCCCAAATGCCGATTAATAAATCCAGCAAAAAGCGAGCTCGGAAAAGTCAGCAAAGTCATTCTAGACACCATCAATCAGGAAATCCGATCAACCATTAAAGTAAATCAATGTAGAAACTCCCAATCTGTGATTGACTGGTTCAAAAATATCGAACACAAATCAGAATACAATTTCGTTTCCTTTGATATCGTCGACTACTACCCTTCAATCAGCGAAGAACTCTTTGATAAATCCATTGCTTGAGCTAAAACAATCGTTAACATCACTGACGAACAGATCTCAATTATCAAACACGCCCGTAAATCTGTTTTATTCAATTCCTCAAAACCATGGATGATGGTAATGACCATGGGAAGCTTTGATGGTGCAGAAATTTGTGAACTTGTGGCGTTTAACTTAAATTTTATTGTAAGCCTTGTAAATTTCTATACAATATTAGCCAAGATATAGGCGTTTAAACTCAAAGTAGCGTTTCTGGGAGCAAAAAATGTTCTGAAAACAGCATAGAATGAAAACAGCACGCAACAGTAAGAACAAATATTGATTAGCTTCGTCTGGCAAATCCTCACTGTTTTTATGCTCGGAGATGGAATATTATTCCAATGATTTTGCCATCGACGTAAATTAAACTTCTCTTGCATTATTAGTCCTCGCGTATTCCAAACAAATCCAAACTTATAACAAAGCGGGCAAGCTCCTTTCCTTTCGTTCCCTTGTGCATTGCAACTCCTTAGGGACCCAATTTGTTCGAACGATGAACAGTATTATTTTAACATCAAATACACTTAAAAGATACTTGGAATACCTTAATCTAAGAATCTTTAAACATGCAAAGACAACATACATGAAAAAAAAGCGCTTTAAAAAACGCCTGTCGTGGATGTTGAAAATAAGTCGAGTCGCGATATTTGGTCATGTCATTCGCTTCGTCAAAAGCTGCACCTTTATTTTAAACGGCTCGATCTCGACCAATATTGTACAAAAATGTTCAAGTCATATATAAAAAATTAAGTTAGACATTACTGCATTCAACCAACTTTATTTGAATAAGATATCTGTATTAGTTTTTCAATTACGATAAGTCTAAGAGGGGAAACATTTTTTTGCGCCCGGTATATATAATAATTATATATATATATTATATATATATAATAATATATTATATAATATATATATTATATATATATATATATATTTATATATATATATACACCCATTTGCAAAAACGTTGGCCGCAGATAGAATTGCATATGATTACATTTGCATGGGATTTCAATCATATTACACAACATATGCAATTCTAATTAGATTTTGGGTATCTATATAATATATATATATATATATATATTATAATATATATTATATATATATATATTATATATATATATAATATATATATATACAAGTTGCGAAAAATTAAGGCCGTTTTCCACTTCAATCGTAGCGAAACGTAGCGATCTTATTGTTTTAAAGTCTTAGTTCTGGTTGAATACATCGGAAACAAAAGAAATACGCTACGTTACGCTACGATACGGTTGAAGTGGAAACGGCCTTAATGCATATAGGATACGTGGCAATTTCGTACAGATCCATCTGAGAGTGATTCAAGTGAAATGTCCGTCCATTGGATCACCAAAACGCATCTTAGAAATTCTTTACCACATGCATGGGTTCTCATCGCGGAGAAACTTCATATAGCTTGCTGATCGAAATGCATCAGTAGCTTGTGGTGATTTTCCGTTCGGCGATACAATAGGCAAAATGTCTAATGACATTCTATATCCAATGGATCCGATGGACAAGGCCATGCAGTAAAGTCTGTCTTCCACTCTATGACTATATATAGGTAGATTTCGCACGAGCCGGAGTTGCTGGCAACCTTGAACGAACTACACCACCTTGAAAAGTATATATATAAAATCGCTATATACGTATGAGTATACATGTAATTTAGCTTGTAGGTACACCACGTAGTATATAATACTGCAAAGCTTTCGCCTTCATCAGTGCAATTAATAAGCCGAGAATAAAGGGCTTAGGTTGGTAAAATTGAATTGATAAATACATATGATAGAATATATTAAATGTTTGCAATATGTTCAGACAGTTGTATGTCCATCGGCACCAGAGGTGCGGACACTTCATGTTCTCAAGAACGAGATCCCCGGTTGCACAAAACTTGTCATCTGATACGGGGGGATGAGATTATAGTAGTTGCGTAGCCATACACATGAAAACAATGTTACAGTGGCAATTTTGCTAAATTAACGTTCTGCATAAAACTTGTGATGTTCAGCAGTAATGTGAGAAAGCAATAAGCTATTGCTGATGTATTTAGAAAAGCAGCAAATTGACTGCAAACACCCTTAGCCGTTCAGCATTAAATTTTATACGGCGAACGTGAGACACATACGGCAAAGCTGAATTTGCTGCTTTTCTAAATACATCAGGAATAGCCAATTGCTTTCTCACATTACTGCTGCATGAACATCAAGTTCTATGCAGAACGTTTGTAATTTAGCGAAATTGTCGCACACTTAAAGATACAGGAGTTAAAACACAAACTTTGTTATCGGTTTGGCGTTTGCCGTCAAACTAAAGGTCTCTAATGATTAAATGGTTTAAGTGACGTGTAATTTTGTTTTCAGGTAATTGCACTGATAAAGGCCCGGGTTTGCAGTATTAAATACTTATACGTGGTGTACCTACAAGCTAATTTACTTATTGATGTCACCATGCAAACATACAAGAATATTATACATATATTAATTCTAAATAATGAATTTCATACACGCACCCATGTCTTTGAATAATTTTAGTCCGTGCATATACAAATCGTTCAAGAAATTAATTAACAATTTCCCTATTAAACTAAATGTAAAACTATAGGGAATATTCATCCGTACCGCTTTCTCTATTGTCAATTCACAGGTGGTTATGACGAGCGTATTGCAGAGAATAAAGAGCATTTTATTGAGCTGGTCAATTTCTCCAAAGAAAACAACCTCACCGACCATGTGACATTTATCAGATCATTCAGCGATCAGGAGAAGTTAGCGCTGTTTGTACGGTGCTTGTGCCTAATTTACACCCCGACAAACGAACACTTTGGTATTGTTCCTATTGAAGCAATGTACATGCGCCGTCCTGTGATTGCCGTCAACACAGGAGGCCCTCTAGAGACTGTTATTCACGGAGGAACCGGGTTCTTGTGCGAACCAAACAAAAAAGCATTCTCTGACGCTATGCAAACTGTCATGGAGAAGTTAGATTTAGCTAAAACGCTTGGGGAAAAAGGGCGTGACCATGTTATTGGTAACTTCTCCTTTGATGCATTCAGCAGAAACCTGGATAATATAGTATGTCGGTTACATTTCTTTTACGACTTCGATATTTTATCTGTTGACTGATATGATCATGCCACTTGATGCATGCTCGCATGCAGCTATGTATAATTTATATTTTGAAGAATAGTGTGAACGATAATTCCACTGAAATGCCCTATATTACTGAATGAAGTTACTTGAATCCTAATTTCTGGGAATGTTCGAATGGGAATTTTAGGAAACATACACGTTAAAAGCAGTATCAATTTACTATCAATGTGTGAAGATTTCGGTTTAGTCTTTAGATCTTCAATTGCTCTTTTTTCGAAATGTTTCACTGTTCTATACACTAAGTATAACAGAAACTACACTGAGTTATTGAAATACAATTAAACTGAAATGTCTCTTTTTGGATTAAGATTACAAAATTTGTAAATAGCCGACGATTTACAGCAATATACACGGTGCATCATAAAAAAACGAAAATGAATATTCAAGAATAATTGATCTTTTGACTTTGTGATTCAATAGAATATATTCATGAATATTTAGTGTTGCGTCGTTTTATACCCTGTACAGGGTGTTTCAAAAAAGGAAGACCATTACAAATTAATCTATATTGTTATAATTTCAATGCAGCTATATGTGCATATATTATATGTTTGACGAAAGAAAACGTGTTAAAATAATTTGTTCTGCATGAAATTTGATTCGATTGTGCATGCTTTTATACGCACCACTCCATTGGGCTTAACATAGTAATGGAGCAGTGAATATGTAACAATAGCCTTCTTGTGATAGTATGCCTTTGTCTAAAATCAAGAGTTGGGTTAATGGCTCGTCATATTTTGGCAAAATAAAATCAGTAGCGCGAACTACTTTCGGTCCTTATACCCGCACTTAGCTTTTGAAACTCAGTCATGCATGGATCAATTGCATTGCATGGTGAAGTTACTTCCTCACTTTGTATATCCTCTTAATATTTATTCTTATTGATTTTGGTCGAAATGCTAAAACATTTATTCAATGTATAGGCTACCAATGTAAATGTCATCAAAGGCGATTTCCGGTGTGATTTTCGTCTTTTGTCTTCTTATTTGAACTTCGGCTTTTTAAAACTAAGATGTGCCAACAATGTTTATAGGTTTAGTATAGGAATATGCCGACGCTAGTTGGCATCTTTACAAAAATATTTTAAATAAGAGTTTTTGCACAACATTCAACCGGTAACAGGTTTTATGTTTTTAGTCTAATGTTTGTTAGCCGTGTTTCTATAGAGTTATAGAGTTATAATAACACGCGTGGGAGTTTGGGAAAACGAGCCCGTAAAGCCGGTTTTTCACTAGCGATATTTCTCGCGCGAAGCGACTTTATTCCTTTGTATTTGAGCAATTTGTTCCAGATGGTTGCAGTTGAGAGCTCTGAAACAAAAGTAAAATGTCGCTTCGTGCGAAAAATATCGCTAGTGGAAAACCGGCTTAAGGCAAGTTTTTCCACGTTATTTCGAGTATATATAGAAACAGGCTTCTCGACCAATCAGCACGCGCGTATTTTATTTACACGCATGTTATTTTAAATAAATATATCGAAACAAGTCATAGATTGCAAATGAGACAAATGCTGCCTCCTTTAAAATTAAAGCAGATAGTTGTTGCTTAGACATAAGATTAACTGTTTATATATATGCATGAGCTGGGCTAACCCGTTAATTAGCGTCGTTCGAGCGTTTTCACGCGACCCAAGGAAAACTATACATAATGTGTTAAATTAGTTTCAATTTCTATGGTTTTCGTATGAAAACGAACGTGAAAACGCTCGAAAACGTAACCGTGTGCATATAGTCATAATCCATTTTTGTTTACTACAACAGCAGGCTCTAGACTCGCGTGTGACGTATAAAAAGACTCTGTTGACCAGGTTAGCCCAGTTCACATCAAAAGGTGTGTTATTTGGAAATGGAAACCCTAATAGATATAGGTACGAGGCTGCATGGTTGAGATTGGTTTTATCACTTTTTTCGTGCATACGTCGTTAAAACCAGTTCTTTGGATGAAGAAGGGTAGGGGAGGTCAGAAATATGCTCCATAGCTTGAATAACGTTTTCATTTTTTTTTCAGGTGATGAGTTTGCAGAAGCACGATGGCGGTCCCATGCCTTTCTTTACTGTATTATGCATGCTTATTCTTTTTGGTATTAGTGCCTTCGTTTTACTGTTTTTTTCATCATAATTTATTGGCATCAGTTTGTGCTTTTCAATAGATCTAGATTATATATGAATTGTTGGAGAATGCATGTTTACAGTCGCGGCAATTGAAGCTTACACCGGGTATTTCATATTCACTCGTCAAATTTGAATTTGTTTCTTGATCCACTGATCTTATTGGTCAATAAACCAAAATCATCTATCTATCTCATCTATCTAATAAACAGGAAGGAGATTCTCAATTAAGGAGTTTTCAATAAATTGCTGCCTCGTCTTAAGGAAAGTGTTCGGAGGAAAATTATCCAAATGCAAGATATTTTTCTGTGAAAAAAAGTTCAAATAACTTTTACGTTGTGGTTAATTTTATCTTGGGATATATCAATGTGATTGCTAAAAAAGTTTCGTCTGGAATTGCAACTAGATGCAAATAATTTGTAATATGTATAAACACGAAATTATACCACTAAAATCTAGTAAAACTTGCCTAATCCAGACTGAAATATTTTTTCAGACGTATTAGTACAGTTCATTTATTAGTACAATATCTCATATGCAGTCATGGTACGTTTAAAGTGGGGCATTTTCTTTGGATTTATTTTGAAATACATTATATGTGAATGTATTCATATATCCAGTTGAAAAAGAAAAAATCAAGAAAGCAATAAGGCTTTTAGAAGAAGATTGTCAGTATGGAATCGGTTCTCTGCTTTTACGAGATTGGCCGGCGCCAGGTCAGCAGAAATTAATAAGCATGCACTCGACTGTCAGACTGTCAGTTGATAGAATGCTTTACGTAGTCTGCAATATTGATTTGGGATATTCTTCGTCACTATCCCGAAATGAGTGATCTTCTTCGATGTCCTTTCTGTTTGGATTCTAGTTTAGTTTGCAGTTTACGGCGATCGGGAATGTATGCAGATAATATACGTGGTCTCAAGCCGCATATCATCCCCGAATATACGACTGTAGCGACTCTTTGGTATTGGTTTCCCACACTTATACATGTCCGAGCAATTACCAAATTCCTGCACATCATCCATCAGTTGTCTCGGCAATACCATCTTCAGTATATGTATCGTTCCTTCTCACAAATCGGGCTGGTTTAATCATAGATAACTGTTGTAAATGGAAAGGAAATTCAAATTTACACGATCCATAACATTTCACGGTCTATTGGTCTTAATAATCAATTCCAAGAATTTAGTTCTTTATTTACAAGTTCAAATCATGGACATGGTGATATGGCGTCGCATGAAATTACTCTTGCAGGACATTTGCATGCAGGCCTTGCAGGGGTTTGGACTTGAATAAGTTGGAGTACAGGGAGATGGCAATTGTTTTTTTAACACCGTGTGGCATTTCAACTCAGCAATCTATTTTTATCAATATCAATTGAGGAAAATATTATAAGCCATCTGCGTACGGCAGATATCGTATATAGTATATATATTCATATATATATACGTATATATATATATATAAAAAATAAATATATATATATATATATATATATATATATATATATATATATATATATGATTTGTAGTAGGATATCCCTATTCCCGAGTAGCATCTTCATGCATATATAATATATATATATATAATTATATATAATATATATATATTATAATATAATATATATTATATATATACGATATATGTATATATATTCGTATATATATCGATATACGGGAGATATACATTTACAGTTCGATATGCTTTCCTGGAATTAAATTCAAAAGTTAGAAAATCCAGGATGGAGGCTAGATCTGCACAAACTGGATTAATTTCTCGTTCACTACACCAGCTGACCCATTTTCGCCAACCTAAGGAATAAGTGTCTGAAGTACATTTCCTTCATGCAGCGAGGAGCAATTTTTGAGCTGACTGCGAAAAACCTGCTGTTGAGTACGATTGGCGGATACAAGCCACCCTGCTAGTTGGACATTGTTTAGTGGGTGAGTTTCCTGTTGTCTTGTTAAAAGACCTGGAAAACTGGGTATCATTCGAGGTGGTGCTATGCTCAGTTCGAGGAGGAGAGGGTACCAAGCTTGTGTCCTCCACACTGGAGCTATTAGAACCAATCTTGGCACATTCTGCATAAGCACCTGCCTCAATAGGGAAAATGGGGGAAGGCATAACCTTGGAACTGGCTCCAATCTTGAGCCCATGCATTGAGAGATTCTGCCTCTGGATCCGGTCTCCAACTTACGAAGCGAGGCAATTGTTTTGACAATCGGGTGGCGAAAAGATCTACCTGAAGGGGCCCCCAAATTTGATTTAAGCTGTCGAACACCTGGGGTGCAAGTTTCCAATCGTTGTTGTCAGCAAAAACTCGACAAGTCATTAATATAGATAAGAAATAGTAACGGACCTAACGCATTAGAGTTACCTTCCTCCGTTTCTGTGTGGCTTGGTTCTTCTTGGATGCGGTCCAAATCTGAAGGATTTCCTCTTCTACTTGAGTGATCAGCGAAGAAGCTGGGCGCGCGAAGGAGTTTGGGGGTTTGCTGTTAATATTATGTTTTAAAATTAGTTAAAGTTTTACTTTGTATCGCTATTTTGAGTGAAATAAAGTGGTATTACATTGTTATATCGAGACGACTGTTCTGAATATAATTTAATATAGCTTAGTGTTTTTTTCTCAAAAAGTGAAGCAAAAAACATGGCGGACTTCGCTCTTCTGCGCATGCGTAGAAGCTTTGCTGACGCCACATGGTCCCCTTTGCCCATGGTAATTACCAATGACCAGGCTCAAATATGAGCCCGCTACAAGAGAATGCTCCCCCCTGTTTTTTTTTTAAATTTTATCTGTGAAAAGTGTGCAAAGAATATAGGCAATACGGATCTTTTCTACGCCTCCGCCACAAATACGGTTAGGTGGAAAACGCGGGCATGCGGACAAGGGGACATGTGGACAAGCGGACATGCGAACAAGCGGACATGCGAACACGCAGACAAAAATGCTAAAAAATCATTATACTCACATTCGAATTAGAATATACAATCTCAGCGATTTCCGCAAAAATAAGAAACGTGAAAAACAAGAAACCCTTCCCCATTCCTCAATTCCTCAATTAAGCTCGTCGCTCCAAAAAATATAGACAGTCTTGGAGTAAGCCGTCAAGTCATCATAAAAATTAAATTCGGCTCGTACGATTTTCTTAAAACTTGCATATTTTACGCATATCAAGATTACAGGAAGGTGAGTGAGTGAAGTTTTAAAAAAAATACCAAAGGAAACATGAGAAAAATACATTTATCTTTATGCATGTGATGTCACAAAAATCAGGATCTCAATTTTCTCGCATGTATTCTTAGGAACCACTGCTGTATATAAACATTGCTAAAATACACAAGAATAGGACTTCATTTTGATTGATTTTATTATAACTGTATTTGCATGTATTAATTTATCACGCTGTAATTTGAACGGTATCTTTAAAATGCGTACAGATCATTGCAAAAGTTTGATTAATACTGCCTGAGGATTTAAGGTTGGCAACTTTATCACGAATATTTAATAATATATTAATACACAAATATCAAACTTCGCTTGAAACTAAAAAGGTTCCTCAAAATACTGCAAAGTAACTATAAAAGACTTGGATATATTTTCTAAATGTTTTGAAAAACATTAATTTATCGGGATTTGTTTTGTCGATAGGCGGGATCCCATTTGCTTGACATACGTCATCATAGGAAAAAATCCCGAAGTAATCCTAAAAATTCGAATTTTTAAAAGCCAATAGGAAGGAAACTTAGAAAATATATCCAAGTCTTTTATATTTAGTTACTTTGCAGTATTTTGAGGAACTTTTTTAGTTTCAAGCGAAGTTTGATATTTGTGTATTAATATATTATTAAATATTCGTGATAAAGTTGCCAACCTTAATCCTCAGGCGGTATTAATCAAATTTTTGCAATGATCTGTACGCATTTTAAAGGTACCGTTCAAATTACAGCGTGATAATTTAACACATGCAAATACAGTTATAATAAAATCAATCAAAATGAAGTCCTATTCTTGTGTATTTTAGCAACGTTTATATACAGCAGTGGTTCCAGCGAATACATGCGAGAAAATTGAGATCCTGATTTTTGTGACATCACATGCATAAAGATAAATGAATTTTTCTCATGTTTTCTTTGGTATTTTTTTTAAAACTTCACTCACTCACCTTCCTGTAATCTTGATATGCGTAAAATATACAAGTTTTAAAAAAATCGTACGAGCCGAAGTTAATTTTTATGATGATTTGACGACTTACTCCAAGACTGTCTATATTTTTTGGAGCGACGAGCTTAATTGAGGAATTGAGGAATGGGGAAGGAAAGGGTTTCTCGTTTTTCACGTTTCTTATTTTTACGGAAATCGCTGAGATTGTATATTCTAATTCGAATGTGAGTATAATGATTTTTTAGGATTTTTGTCCGCATGTCCGCTTGTCCGCTTGTCCGCATGTTCGCTTGTCCGCATGTCCGCTTGTCCGCATGCCCGCGTTTTCCACCTAACCTCCAGCATCGGCCCATTTGGCAAAAAATTAGTAAAATTGATGCGTTCATCAGACTTGATGCAAGTTGTTCCATCAGGCTTGCTGCAAGTTGACATTTTCAGACTTGATGCAACTTGTTTCATCAACCTGCATCAATTGCAAGTCTGCAAATGTGAACTTGCAGCAAGCCTGATTTTACCGGCTTGGTGCAAGTTGATGACGTCAACAAACTTGCTGCAACTTGTTGACAAATTGCAGCAGGCCGGTAAAACCCGCAACTTGCAGCAAGTCTGTGGCGTTTCTGGCTGTGTACCCAGCAATATACGATATTGCTGCCTCTTTGTACTCAGACAGTTCAATTGCGTTAGACACATCACAGTAGTCATGATCGACGGCAGCTGGCTCTCTTAACTCCAGGTCGTATCGCCTTGCAATCGTTACGTCTGAGATCCCAGTTGGTGTTTCTTCAATTTCACACTGGTCTTTGACAAAGTTCAGTATCTCCGTGTCATCTTGAGCGACGCAGTTTCCACGTCCTCCTTTAATATTGTGCCTCATCAGCAGTTCTTTGTAAACAGCTACAAACTGGCGTGTGGTTGGATTATTATTCCATCCTCCGTATGCTCGCACAGCACCGAAGAACAACTCCAAGTGATCTTGGCTCATCTTGTACGTCAAGAGGTATTTTAGTACTGGTTTCTCCGTCATAACCAGATCGTCGGCCAATCCCAAAACTGCTTTGATGCAAATAAGAAAACCAAGAAACCCGGTCTTTCTTTTTGTCTTGAGAATCGATCTTCTATCAGGACCCTTTAGATTTCGAATGTACTCATTCGCCTGGCCCAGAAACTTCTTCGTGTGCTGATCATTCGATCTCCTGATTGGCGCTTTGTAATTCTTCGCTAGCCGGTTTCTGGAATTCAAAACATCAAATAAGCGATCAAGAACACGAATAAACTTCACAGTTGGACCACATCCCTGAA